TTAAGTCCTTGCATGTAATCTTTCTATGTAGATTGTACATGTTTTCAAGTAGTGTATATCTGCTATATTGTATTCCATGAAGGGCACATACTGTTTTCTATCGGATTAATCGACGTGTCCAGTACACAAACCAACAGCCGCGCTGTTGACACGTGCCTCGGTTATGGAGGTGATATTTTGTATGGTATTCAAACGGTTCTGGGTCATTGATTAGTCCTTGATAAGACTTTGACCATTCAATATGACGTGGATGACGAATTTCATTTTGGATTAGAATGCCTCCTTCAACGAGCTTAGAAGCAGAGATGTTTATATAACAGAATCTAATATTGTGAAAACCTCTGTCTACAAAACAAAATTAATCGGGTTTTTCTATTGTCTCCACTAATATTGCAGACAACAGGAAATGTGACCTCGAGTTAATATCGAGAGTGAGGGTTTACCGTATTGTTAATCATAGTCAAAGGATTCTAAGCATTAATTTTATTATGTTTCCATTGTACATGCAAGTAATGCTTAATATGTTAAACAAGGGATAAACATTGAAAAAATTGAAAACTCAATTGTACTAAAAAGAACCAGTCCCGGGTGATACCGATGAGATTCTTCAATGTACACTTAAAGCCACATAGAAGAGCTTTGTACCTTTGGCGTAAGAACTAAAACACAGAAGACATCACTTCCAAAAGCTGCCCTCACCCATTTCAAAATCCTTTAACCAGAGACAAATACTATACTAGTGTATGTACTACGAATATATTGGTTTTATACGCCTCTGCTTTCACCGCCCCGATGGTTATATTAGGAATGAACACTTAATTATCTCATTCAACCTTTTGATTTTACCTCTTGACACACAAATCAGTTGCTTATCGTATATCTGAAAGAAGTTGCATATAGTTACCTTACAAAATGACGGTTTAAAATATATACTGGACATGTTTGTGTCAATAATAAGATATTGAGGATACATTATATTTCCTATCAAAACATCTTTTTTTTGCATATTTAAGAAAGGAAAAATAAAACTATTACGTTAGAAAAGTATTTTAAAAGAAACGTTGTCGTCAGATACTTTCGTTGTATAGGAAGTTGAATTCATTGGAGATAAGGAGGCGCTGACATTGATACCGCCCAACCCCACCGCCACAAACTTTTGGAATTTTTACGGTACTAGTGATCTGAAACTCATGTGAATACGATTGATATAAAATACATAAAGCACATACTGATGGAATAACAACGTAATTTCAAATTAATAAACACCAGTCCAACACAATACCCAGCCCCCCTCCACACACACACACACTATGAAGTCCTTTGTTATCTATGCCTCACAACCATATGTTTCTGATGCATAATGAAAAGGGTATTTAAGTGTTACTCATCTTCATTTTATATACCGTAAGTTACACACCCTCGTGCACAGTGTTCAATATTTGAATTAGACTAAAGCCTTACGTAATACAGACTTTGTACTTCAGTCTCATTATTCAATCAGAGACGTATAGAAAAAGACCATAAACTATATGGACCCGCAAATTAGTTACACTAATGTTTGATTGGACCTAATCCTGACATGTCAGAGTTATCATTCTCCCCGAGTTAGTGTTCGATTGGACCTAATCCTGATATGTCAGAGTTATCATTCTCCCCGAGTGTTGGTGGAGATACATCTAATTTATACGACTTTGTGGGAGAAACTAGATACGCTGGCAAAACTATAGTCCCTGCGTCGACAAGGACTTGAGATGCTTAAACCATTGTTCTGGTGCTGTTTGAAGGATGGGGTGGCATTTATTTCGAGAGATAATGTTAACCACTAAAACATCTAATAATACTCTTTACTCAGCGAGACAGGTCCACACAAGCCATGTCGACCCTTTGCCTGAAACAACATGTATAGTAACCTCATGGTTTTTACCTTCGAAATAACAATAGCCGCAGGTGATAGGGGTTATCCCACTTTTAATAAATAATAAACTATCTGTATAACCAATAATAAAGGTAAGGCTAGGTAAAAGAAAAGACCACTATTGTTAAGGATAGTGAAATCAGTGCTGTTTGTGCAATACACTATTCGAAATGACGATCAGGAGAAAAGAAAAATTAATAGACAACACTCGGTAAACCCTATCTCGAAACTCAAAAGTCAAAGCAACAGTACGTTACACATGCAGCATTTTTAGCTCACCGGGTCCGAAGGCCCCTCGTGAGCTTATGCCATACCGTGGCGTCCGTCCGTCCGTCTGTCCGTCAACAATTTCTTTAAACAACTTCTTCTTCTTAACCACTGATTGGAATTTATCTAAATTTGACTGGAAGCATCCCTAGGTGCCGGGGATTCAAAATTGTAAAAATGGTGGGGCTGACCCCCAAGGTGGCTGAGGGGCGGGGCCAAAAGGGGGCATTTTGGCTATATTGCTACAAACGACTTCTTCTGCAGAACTATGCCATGGATATTGATCATATTTGGTCGGAAGTATTCATGGGAGGCAGGGATTCAAAATTGTACAAATGGTGGGGCCGACGCCCCGGGCTAAGGGGTGGGGCCAAAAAGAAAATATTACTTGGAAATGGTTGAGGTCCCCACCATATAACCATATATACAATTGCTGAGTATAAAGAGAGGAATGCACATTTGCTTCCAGGATGGCTATAGGGTCTGGCCCCACCCTTGGAGACTTAACCCCTGGGTCATAACTTTGAAACGGTTAAGATCCCCACCCCAAAACTATATTTACAATTGTTGGGCATAAAGAGACGAATGCAGTCATGATAGTAGAATTGACCCCAGGGTCTGCCCCACCCTTGCAGACATAACCCCTGGGTCATAACTTTGAAACGGTTGAGATCCCCAACCCAAAACTATATATACAAATGCTGGGCAAAAAGAGACAAATGCATCATGGTATTATAATTGATCCTGGCCACAACCCCAGGGACCTAGTTTCCTACCCCAACCCCTGGGGCCAGGTTGGGGTCCCAAAGAGAAAATTAACCAATATTTCAAAAATCTTTTTCTCCAGACTCAGAGGTACTACAGTCATTTTCTCTGCATGGATAGAAAGATCATCAGGGGCTTTATTTAAATTGTAAATTTCAGGACTCTGATCTATTATCTTTTGCTTCAGTGCATCCGTTGATCACTAAAAAGTTTTCAAGTAGAAAAATTGAACCTGTTCTGAGGACTCGCCTCCTACATTGTACTTGTTTTGGCAGTCGCCATTGTTCAAACAGCGTACAGGCTACACTACAGTGTTCTAAGTCATTCATAAATCAGTATTAAAATGAATCTATTAAAGCCAGAAATTGCTAGCTCTGCTTGTATTAGTATGCACCACGAGTACTGATGATAATCAGGACGTTATATTATTAGTAACATCTGTTCCTGTACCCAGTTATAGGGTGGTTTAATACTGTCACCTTTAAAGAAATGGATGTATGGTTGACAATCATTTTAATATGAATTTCTGTATTCATAAAAGTTTAAAATTCAATCTGGCACTAGAATATTGATTTTGACAATGCACAAAGTCAGATGTTGATATAACATGATTTGAGGTCCATTGCCCAAATTTGATTAAATTTACATGCAACATTTTATAGCATCCTATAAGTAATCTCAAAGAAAATTGCTCCAAAGATGACAGCAGACATATCGGGAGAGTATGAGAAAACAAATTATTTTGTACCTCTTAAGTTTCTTCTTGTTTTTGGTCTGTACTTGTAGGAAAATTAATATATTAGTGTATGTAGAAAAATTAATATATTAGTGTATGTAGGAAAACTAATATATTAGTGTATGTAGGAAAATTAATATATTAGTGTATTTAGGAAAATTAATATATTAGTGTATGTAGGAAAATTAAAATATTAGTGTATGTAGGAAAATTAATATATTAGTGTATGTAGGAAAACTAATATATTGGTGTATGTAGGAAAGTTAATATATTGGTGTATGTAGGAAAACTAATATATTAGTGTATGTAGGAAAATAAATATATTAGTGTATGTAGGAAAATTCATATTATTGGTGTATGTAGGAAAATTAATATATTGGTGTATGTAGGAAAACTAATATATTAGTGTATGTAGGAAAATTAATATATTAGTGTATGTAAGAAAATTCATATTATTGGTGTATGTAGGAAAATTAATATATTAGTGTTTTTAGGAAAACTAATATATTAGTGTATGGAGCAAAGACATACTGCAACAATCACTTGTTCTACGGTCACTTCCTCTGTATCTGAAGAGAAAATCAATGGCTTTGAATGATGTGAATAGAAATGACCGTACTGATTGGTCAATACCAAAAGTGATTTTCACACCTTGACAAATATCAGTTTTGATATCCGTCCCACTGTGAAAGATATCAGTATTATAGAGTTGATTAAATTTGAAATATCACTAGGTTATTTTTTTATATAAAACACTGTAAAGATAAATGTGGATTTCTAAGTTTATATGTTTATTATAGAGGATGTATCAGACGTCTGGGTCCACGTTGCTAAACGAAGAATTATGTAGAGATCAGTGACACACATGTTCAATGTCACAATAAACAATATGTGCAAATCTATCCGTTTTTGTGGGGCCTATACTTAACATCATACGTGGAGTACACATTTGTGGGGCCCATACATAAGTTCATTGTTATGTATAAAGTACAACAAATGCTTACAGAATAATTACGAAAACAGTGTTTGAAAAGAATATTTATAATTATAGTATTGTAACAAAGTTTTGTATTTCGTTATGGATTGAACTAATATATTGTGTGCTCTACGTACTGGCCAATTTGTTATTTTAGTATTATATGGAAAGCCTTGTATTTCTTTTAAATGAACTAGGGTATTTTGAGTTAACTGGACTGGCCATGCAAGGAGAGCCCTGGAGTGAGAGGAATTGTTGTTAAGTCAATATTGAGATAATGGGTTATATAGGTAGGTATGCCACGTCCACAGTGATCAGCACTGTCAGACACGCCTCAGTGGTTGTTCTACTTAGCACTACCTGCCACATCACCAGGCCGGGGTTCCCTTCTATATAAATAATAATACAGGGATATAAAAAGGTAGCTTCCCACAGCTCCACGTCACAGGCCCTGCTAATACTGTCATGTCGACTACTACACAACAGCTCTCATCTGTACAGATGAATGATATACAGAAAACTTCAAAGGTAAGACCCAAATTGTCCTTACTTTTATTTCTTCTTTTGAGCCTTATTGACTTGCCAGGTATACAGGTAAGGTTTTGGAATCAAGGAAGAATTGTCAGCACTTGTTTAGGAACTATAGTAAGTGCTTAAGGATTAAGATACAAATGCTTTCTGACCAGGTCCACAAACTATTGTCCACTAAACATATAGACTCCTGGAGTAGTTTGTATGTACAGAGGCATGTCTGCACACATCCAACGATATATAAGGGCCTCTGGTACCCGTTAGCATGGTGCCAGGATTACTGTGGAGGAGAATGTTAATTCTTAACATTTTGATAACATTTTTAAAACAATAGCGTAGTTTGTGTATGAACCTTTGCAAAGGTTATAAATTACATATAGATCTTGGCTACATTGATTTTAATGCAGGTTTTTGAACTTATGAAGTATGACAGTTATGTGTGTACTTGTTTAGGGGTATAGAGTGATGTGAAGCTGTTAAGTTTACTGAAAAACAGATCTATATAGTGTGGAAACTTTAGATAACACACGCTATATATATCTACTTAATTCAAGTATTATACTCTGTCAGCATGAACTCGAGATTATGTACTTGTATTACATCATGAAGAATGGTATATGTATGTAAGTACCCCTGTGATAACCCTCGAGTATAAGTACTAAGTAGCCATGTTATAACCCTAGTATAAGTATGTAAGTAACCCTGTTATAACCCTAGTGTAAGTATGTAAGTAGCCATGTTATAACCCTAGTATAAGTATGTAAGTCACCCTGTGATAACCCTAGTATAAGTATGTAAGTAACCCTGTTATAACCCTAGTGTAATTATGTAAATAGCCATATTATAACCCTAGTATAAGTATGTAAGTAAACTTGTGATAACCCTGGTATAAGTATGTAAGTAACCCTGTTATAACCCTAGTGTAAGTATGTAAGTAGCCATGTTATAACCCTAGTATAAGTACGTAACTACCCCTGTGATAACCCTAGTATAAGTAAGTAAGTAACCCTGTTATAACACGAGTGTAATTATGTAAATAGCCATATTATAACTCTAGTATAAGTATGTAAGTAAACTTGTGATCACCCTGGTATAAGTATGTAAGTAAACATGTTATAAACCTAGTGTAAGTATGTAAGTAACCCTGTTATAACACGAGTGTAATTATGTAAATAGCCATATTATAACCCTAGTATAAGTATGTAAGGAGCCCTGTTATAACCCTAGTATAAGTACTAAGTAGCCATGTTATAACCCTAGTATAAGTACTAAGTAGCCATGTTATAACCCTAGTATAAGTACGTAAGTAACCCTGTGATAACCCTAGTATAAGTATGTAAGTCACCCTGTGATTACCCTAGTAAAAGTATGTAAGTAACCCTGTTATAACCCTAGTGTAAGTATGTAAGTAGCCATGTTATAACCCTGGTATATGTATATGTAAGTAACCCTGTGATAACCCTAATATAAGTATGTATTAAGTAACCATGTGATAACCCTAGTACAAATATGTAAGTAACCCTGTGATGACCCTTGTATAAGTATGTAAGTAACCCTGTGATAACCCTGGTATACGTAGCTGTAAGTAACCCTGTGATAACCCTAATATAAGTATGTATTAAGTCACCCTGTGATAACCCTAGTAAAAGTATGTAAGTAACCATGTTATAACCCTAGTGTAAGTATGTAAGTAACCCTGTGATAACGCTAGTAAAAGTATGTAAGTAACCCTGTTATAACCCTAGTGTAAGTATGTAAGTAACCCTGTGATAACCCTAGTACAAATATGTAATTAACCTTGTGATAACCCTAGTATAAGTATATGTAAGTAACCCTGTGATAACCCTAGTATAAGTATGTAAGTAGCCATGTGATAACCCTAGTTCAAGTATGTAAGTAACCCTGTGATAACCCTAATATAAGTATGCATTAAGTAACCATGTGATAACCCTAGTACAAATATGTAAGTAACCCTGTGATGACCCTTGTATAAGTATGTAAGTAACCCTGTGATAACCCTGGTTTACGTTTATGTAAGTAACCCTGTGATAACCCTTGTATAAGTATGTAAGTAACCCTGTGATAACCCTTGTATAATTATGTGTAAGTAACCTTGTGATATGTACCTGAAATGAATGGATGCGGTTACCCGGTTACAATCAATGCTACTTATACTACATAATACGTTCTCAAACCTGTAATGATATACAAGACAGTTTATCAGGTGCATGTGTTAGACATGTATGTAAACGTTCAGAAGAAATTATACTGCACAAGGTACAAGTGTTGTCTTAGACTTGTGCTGTTTCAGTTATAAATAGGCTGTGTATATGTGTGTTAAGTTGTAAACCATTGAATTCCCAGCTAAAACATTTTTTTCTATTGAGAACAAACTCACCTCCTCACACATACACACTTTACACAGATAATCACCAGGTCACATATACACAGATGACCGGCCCACATTTGGACCTTGGGAACACCCTTTCAGTGCTGACCTACCTAACAGCTGGTGTTGTATCATTGCACATCCAGGTCTATATTATCATTGAAAGCTGTTAGATAACAGATAAAATAGTTTTGAAAATTGGAATTCCTTGGATTTCAAAGCTGATAGCAAATTCAGTTTTGGTTTTGAAATCATTTTGGGGTAACTTTTGAAAAAGAGCTTAGTTTACAGTTTCTAATAGTTACAGTAGAAGGGTAAACAGAGATAGGGAGCTACAGTTTCTGACAGGTACAGTAGGGGGTAAACAGAGATAGGGAGTAACAGTTTCTGACAGGTACAGTAGGGGGTAAACAGAGATAGGGAGTTACACTTTCTGACAGTTACAGGAGGGGGTAAACAGAGATAGGGAGTTACAGTTTCTGACAGGTACAGTAGGGGTAAACAGAGATAGGGAGCTACAGTTTCTGACAGTTACAGTAGGGGTAAACAGAGATAGGGAGTTACATTTTCTGACAATTACAGTAGGGGGTAAACAGAGATAGGGAGTAACAGTTTCTGACAGGTACAGTAGGGGGTAAACAGAGATAGGGAGTTACACTTTCTGACAGTTACAGTAGGGGGTAAACAGAGATAGGGAGTTACAGTTTCTGACAGGTACAGTAGGGG